AGCAGGGAGATAATGGCTCTTTCTGTTTGGCCCTAGTGAGACAGCACCTGGGATGCTGTTTTTAGTTTTGGACACTTCATTAGTGGAAAATTGTTGATTAGCATTTGGGAATTTGGAGGCAAGAAACAAGAAACAATTAAAAGCATACATTTGAAATGACTCAACTATTCAAAGCCAACAGCAAAGAGAGAAAAAGGAATAAGGAAGCTGCACTTAGATTATGCTGCTGAGAAATCAAAAGTCTCTTCATTTCAAGTTCAGCATAGAACCACTGATTGTTGGAGCTGGGAGGGACTTTAGAGATGACTTTTGCTGACCTTTAATTAAGTTCCTGGGCAGTGCCAAGATTTTTAGCTAGGCAGGTTGCTCTTGAGCTATGGATCCCACAGCTATGTAGAAAGTTTCCTCTTAAAATATAGATCTGATATTATTCTCCTAATTAAAACCCTCCAGTGGGTTCCACAGCATTTAACATAAATTCAGCTTTTTATCAGGGCCCACACTGTTCTACTGAATCTGGCCTTTACCTAGATCTTGACTTTTACCACTATCCACTGAGCTCACCAATGTTCAGCCACAATGTGCCTTCCCCCTCCATCTCCTGCTGTTTCTAGAACTCTTCAAGGTCTTTTCAACCTCAAGGCCTTTGCATTTCCTATTTATTTCTCCAGTTCCTTGTACTGTTGATTCCGTCTCATCTTCCTTCCATAACCATGTTATTGAAAGTCTCCATCCCCACTCCATCATCCTGCTTATAGTGTTATAACAATTTGTAATTATTTGCATTTAGTTACTTGTTTATTATCTTTTTCTTCTATAAGGACGTAGAATGCAGGAGAGCAAAGACCTTTTCTATCTCACCCATTCTTATATTTCCAGTGCCTTGAATGAAGTAGTAGCTAATGTGTATTGAGTTCTTATTTTATTTCTGAAACTGTTCAGTGTCTGACATGTATCAGCTCATTTAATCCTCACATCAACCCTATGAAATTAAACTGTGATTATCTCCACTTTACAAATGGGGAAAATGAAGTGCAAAGAAGTTAAGTTAAATTCCCCAAGGTTAAACAGTAAGTGCTAGGGACAGGATTTGAATCTTGGCAGTGTGACTTGCCCAGGGCCTGAGAAGTTAATGGAATAGTCAAAGATAGCATCTAATACTTTTGACTGCCTTGTGCTCATTCTGCCTGGAAAACTGGCAATGGATTAATTACTTCGATAGTTACACACTATAACCTTTTCCCCTATGAGAAATTCTAGTAAATGAGAATTTGCTTCCATATTTGAGAATGTGTGATCTTGAGTCATTCCTTTTGGGGCTAATGAGGAAAAGAGGCAATTTAGGAAGAGGGACAGGAACAAAAACAGAAAGTTAAATATATGGTGGAATGAGATTTGAACTTTCTGTGATACAGTCTTGTGAGAGGCAAAAGAAGCTAAGAGGAAGTAAAGCAAGGACTTATTTTTCTGGACCATTAGGAAGCAGGGAAGTGGGGTGGTATAAGAAGAATTAATTAAGGGCATGTGCTTTGGCATGAACTTATTATGGGCCAAAACAAGACCTATATAACTCCATATTTTAGAGAGACGATTGAGAAATACCTGTTTAGCTAGACCAAACAGACTAAACAAAATATGTCAAAGGACTTTTTGCATTGAGCATCCAAATGACACAGTCTCTGTGAAACTGTGAGGTCAAGAATGTGGGAGTCAGTGACAACCTGGCGTTACAAAATGAGAAAGGCATATTTGGATAGAGGAGCCAACAGGACAACATTTTCTTAATTTTCAGATTATCTGTTACCAAACAAACCACATTCCAAACTGACCAAAAACAAACTGGAAAGTTTTTAGCATGCATGGTAATTTTAGCATGCAGTATAATTTCAATTACACTGAAATTATTTGGACATAATCACTATTATTTATACAGCTTATGAAGTTCTCACAGCAAGTATACTGGGGTGGTTTGCCATTCCCTCCTACAAGTGGATCACGTTTTGTCAGAACTCTCTACTATGACCTGTCCATCTTGGGTGGCCTTACATGGCATGGCTCATAGCTTGAGTGACATAAGCTTCTTCACCATGAAAAGGCAGTGATCTGTGAAGGGGATAACTGTCCAGTATTTTGGTCATCTGATGCAGTCAGTCGACTCATTGGAAAAGTCCCTGATGTTGGGAAAGTTTGAGGACAGAAGGAGAGAGGGGCGTCAGAGAATGAGATGGCTAGATGGCATCTCCGATGCAATGAACATGTACTTGGGTAAATTTTGGGAGATGGTGAGCAACAGGGAGGCCTGGCATGCTGCAGTTTATGAGGTCACAAAGAGTCGGAAACAACTGGGTGACTGAAGAACAATGAACAGCAACACCACTATTATTCACAGACGTGGGGTAAATGTCAAGAGAGTTCAAGGAAAAAAAAAAAAAAGAGAGTTCCAGAAAAACATCTATTTCTGCTTTATTGACTATGCCAAAGCCTTTGACTGTGTGGATCACAATAAACTGGGGAAAATTCTTAAAGAGATGGGAATACCAGACCACCTGGCCTGCCTCTTGAGAAACCTGTATGCAGGTCAGGAAGCAACAGTTAGAACTGGACATGGAACAATAGACTGGTTCCAGATAGGAAAAAGGAGTACATCAAGGCTGTATATTGTTACCCTGTTTATTTAACTTATATGCAGAGTATATCATGAGAAATGCTAGGCTGGATGAAGCACAAGGTAGAATCAAGATTGCTGGGAGAAATATCAATAACCTCAGATATGCAGATGACACCACCCTTATGGCACAAAGTGAAGAGGAACTAAAGAGCCTCTTGATGAAAGTGAAGAAGGAGAGTGAAAAAGTTGGCTTAAAGCTCAACATTCAGAAAACTAAGATCATGGCATCTGGTCCCATCACTTCATGGGAAATAGATGGGGAAACAGTGGTAACAGTGAGAGACTTTGTTTTTGGGGGATCTAAAATCACTGCAGATGGTGACTGCAGCCATGAAATTAAAAAACACTTACTCCTTGGAAGGAAAGTTATGACCAACCTAGACAGCATATTAAAAAACAGACTGTGCCAAAAAAGGTCCATCTAGTCAAGTCTATGGTTTTTCCAGTAGTCATGTATGGATGTGAGAGCTGGACTGTAAAGAAAGTTGAGTGCCAAAGAATTGATGCTTTTGAACTGTGGTGTTGGAGAAGACTCTTCAGAGTCCCTTGGACAGCAAGGAGATCAAGCCAGTTGATCCTAAATGAGATCAGTACTGGGTGTTCATTGGAAGGACTAATATTGAAGCTGGAACTCCAATATTTTGGCCATATGATGCAAAGAGCTGACCCATTGGAAAAGACCCTGATGCTGGGAAAGAATGAAGGCAGGAGGAGAAGGGGACAACAAAGGATGAGATGGTTGGATGGTATCACTGACTCAATGAACATGAGTTTGGGTAGGCTCTGGGAGTTGGTGTTGGACAGGGAGGCCTGGTGTGCTGCAGTTCAAGGGATCGCAAAGAGTAGGACACGACTGAGTGACTGAACTGAACTGAACTGAACTGAGGTGAATGTTAACGTTAACAGCCTTAACAGTTTTATTAGCAGGAATAAAAACATATGTACAAGAGCTTTGATTGGTTCACTCTTGATGACCTTGGATTTTTCAACTCCCTGTTGCCTGACTCCAATCTTCACAAAGCAGAGATTGATATTTTAAAAAATTTCTCTTTAAAAAAATTATTATATTGAATTATAGTTGATTTACAGTTGTGTTAATTTCTACTGTACAGCAAAATGACTCAGTTATACATGCATACTTTCTTTTTCATATTTTTCCTATTATTATTTATCATAGGATATCAAATACCATTCCCTACAGTCATTTTACAGTTCAAAGTGATTTATACCATCATTTCAGTATTAGAGTACAATAAATTTGACTATATGCTTTCTTCTACCTATTAACTTTAAGCTTTCATGTTTTCTGATTACTTATTAGTGTCCTTTCATTTCAGCTTAAAGAAATTCCTTTAGCAACTCTTGTAAGGAAGGTGTAGTGGTGATGAATTCCCTTAGTTTTTGTTTGTCTGGGAAGAGATAGGTATTCATAAAACAAATCTGGTTACATTAACCCTCTGCTTCCAAAGGCTCTCTGTTTTTCATATGTGGCTTATCAAAGTCCTTCGTGAACTGCCTTCTCTCTGCTTTGTCACCCTGCTTCTCCATGATGATAAGTGGCAGAGCTGGGGTTTGAACTCAGATAATTGACTTCCAGAGCCAATATTCTTAATGGCTTGCTTGCATTGCCCCAGCAGTCAGGTATACTGAATGTCCTTTATTGTCTCCAGGGATCTATGATTTTTCTTGTCTCTAGGCTTTATGACATGCAGTTGCTTATGCTTGAAACTTTCTCTGCCCACTCTCTTGGCCTGGAGAACCCCTTTATATTATCTTTCATATTTTATCTTTGAGGTTTCTCTAAGCTTTACAAGATTCCCCAAGTCTGGGTTAGAAGCCCTTGTCATATAGTCCTATAAATCCTTTCTCTTCCTCTGACATGTAACTTATTTGTTGTATTATAATTTCCAGTTCATTTACCTCTTTAATGAGATTTTTAATTCTGTGATTTTCAGAGGCTGGGATATTTTATACATCATTACATTCCCAGTGCATATAGGAGGCACTGGTAAGATATCTTGTTGTATAAATGAACAAAAAGATCCTATTCTGCAAGTTTTAGAAACTTAATACTGGGGGTTGAGAAAGGAGTACTGTTGTTATTTTCCTATTTGAATCTCCTGTTGGGGCGGTTCAAAGCACAACCTAAAAAGAACTCAAAGGCAGTCGTGATGCTCAGAAGAGAGAGAGGTCTGGGATGAGTGGAATTTGGTACTGCTTTGCTCCTAGGGTTTTCTCTCCATGGCCTTTTTTTGTGGGTGGACCAGTTTTTTTTGGTTGGGTGGAGCCAGAAGCCCCCTCACAGCCCAGAATATCTCGCGGTGACTCCTCATCAGCGAGAGCAGCGCAGAGCCTCCTCACAGCCCACAACGGCCGTGCGTCGTGTCACTGAAAGTGCAGTAACGTTCCACAGGTCGTCGAACATGCGGTGACTTTCCAACACGTGTTCTGCCTCCGCTTGACTTTCTGGGATGCCCGAAAATGGAACTGAAACCGAGGAAGCCTGCGCAAGAACGATGGTCCTCTAATTGGTGCCCCCTGAGGGGAAGAAACCCAGCGAGTGAGGAAGAGCCCACCGAGCCCTGCAGGCGTTGCCGCGAGCGGCCACCCCACACCTGACTCGGACCCCATCCTGTGGCCTCTGATGGGCTGAGGACAAAAGGGAAAGCCCGCGTAGGGTAGAGAAAAAGAGGAACCCGCGAGGGGGTTATTTTTCCCTGTCAGCAGTGGTGAAGAGAAAGACCCTGTTCCAGGGTCGGTGGACAGAGAAAGGCACCGAGCCGACACCCGACCGTGGGCTGAGGGACCCTGGGCTGAGGTCGGAGAGCAGCAAGTGGTGACTCAGAAGACAGGTGAGTAGCACCCTCTTTTGAGGACTCCGGGAGGGACTAACGGAAGAGGGGGTATACCGAGAAAATATGGACTCCCTGCTAATGAAGGGGATGGGGACCGAGGGCACAAGATTTGGGGTGTGGCCCTGAGGGGATCAAATTTATACTCACCATTCTGGAAGATCATGGAAAATACTGGTTGTATTTAGACTTATATGTGATGCAATCGGTTGACCCTTTATGGGACTAAGTGGATAGAACTCAGCTGAAGAAACTGCTTGTTGTAAAACGTTAGTATAAAATCACCGTAGAAGTAACTCCAGTACTGTCTGCGAATCTCCAAGCGTTATTTGCTTATCCTGAGTCCAGAGATGTAGCTGTATTTATTTTTTGTTCCTCTCCATTCTGTTTTGTCCTCCATCCTGTCTTCCTGTCCTCGATTTTCACCCCTTTCCTTCCTTCATCTCCTCCTCCTCACTACCTCCTTCCTTCCATCAAACCAGGAGTTCTTAACCTTAGAATTCTGGTGGTCCCATGAACTATTGTGGAAAGAAAATCACATTTGTTTAACATATAAATAAAATAGTTCATCTTTATCAATTATGAAAGTGATTGTAACCACAGGAATATTAGCAGTACCCAGACTGTCATCAATAGAAATCAAGTGATATTAACAGTGCCTGTACCTTTATCACAAATCACCTATATCATTCATTTTGTGGTATGTAGAAATATTTTTGCTCACTACTATAAAATTGAGTTATTTGACTTGCCACCTTACCTTTTATTCAATACATTGACACTGAAACATATTTAATGTTTTATCATTAATTTAAAAATATTTTGATAACTATGTGTGCATGCTCAGTCACTTCTGTCGTGTCTGACTCTTTGTGACCCTATGGACTGTAGTACAATATAATTCGTTGCCTTTGCATACTTTTAATCCATTCCTGATCTTGCTATGGTGCTTAGACAGTAACCTGATGATCTTGAGAAAGTGAATGACCCAGATCACTCGACCACAAATCTTTTTCTAATTTAGTTGGTTTGCAGTTCTTTCTTTCAACAAAGTAGGAGGACCTAATGTAGCAAGCTGTTAACTGGTAGATAATTAGAAGTAATTTTTAGTAATAGGTCACTACAGGATTTTTGGCAAATAAGTCTGGAGATTGAAGAATTACATGCTGTTGCCATAGCAAAATGATTATTCCTAATTACTTATGTAAACAAGCTTTTTCAGAATTTATATTTAAAAATAAATAAATATAGGAAAGGGATTGATTTTGTAGAGCAACTATTACCGACTTTGCTACTAGGGAAGCCCAGAGCAACTGTTACTGTGGGTAAAAGCATGAATTCATAAAATAAAAGCTACATTCATCTCACTAAGAAATATGATGCAAATACAATTTTTCTTATGTTTTGTATTTACATAAATTTTATTATGTTTATACTGCTTTGTTCAACTGGATGCTGATACTAATGGTAATGACAATGTAATTCAGAAGAAAGTTTTAATACTCTGAGCTTTCAGAGCTATGAGAGGATAAGTTTATTTTGTTTTAAGCCAACAAAGCTATGATCATTTGTTACAGCAGTCACAGGAAATGGTTCATTGTTGTTGTTTAGTTGCTAAGTTGGGTTTGATACTGCGACCCCATGGACTGTAGGGGTTTGTTGTGTATATATTTGTTCAGTTTTAGTAGATAAACCAAATAGTTTTCAGAGTGGTTGTACCAATTTACACTCCCAGAAGCAATGTATGAGAGTTCTGGTTGCTCTACGTCAAGGGTTGGGGGTTATCTATTGAAGAACTGGATAGTAAATATTTTAGGCTTTGTAGGCCATGTGAGCCTATGGCAGACACTCAGGTCTGCTATTGTAGCATGAAAGAAGCCACAGAAAGAAATAAAGAAAGTGAAGTTGCTTAGTCGTGTCTGACTCTTTGCAACCCCATGGACTGTAGCCTACCAGGCTCCTCTGCCTATGGAATTTTCCGGGCAAGAGCACTGGAGTGGGTTGCCATTTCCTTCTCCAGGGGATCTTCCCAACCCAGGGAACGAACCTGTGTCTCCTGCGTTGCAGGCAGATGCTTTACTGCCGGGGTCCAGCCTCGGCAGGATCCATGGGGTACCCTCGGGATGAATGGCGTTGGCAAGAGAAGACACGTGAGACCAGCCTTGATAGGGCCAAGTCTGCGAGGGAGAGAGAGAGAAAGAGAGAGAGAGAGAGAGAGAGAGAGTGACCAGACGGGGGGTGCAGCAGAGTCTGGCAGGGTCTGGCAAGGCTTTCTTTTTTACTGTAGCTTTTTTACCCTAAGTTAGTACACTTCCAAGGGGAAGATAGTTTAACATTACATCAGCTTGTTCTTTACAAAACCAGGGTATTTTCTGCATACTGCTTTGTTTATGAGGGTCTTGTACATTATCTTCTGGCCTTGGGGCCTATTAACATTTTATGAAAGTCAGGTGAATGTAAACCTATTTTCTGTTTCTATGGTGACCTTAACTGAAAGGTAACAGTCTCATAGGGCAACAGTACAGAGTAGAAGTATAACTTTGTTAACACAAAAATTAATTCTTCTGCAGAAGTTGTCAGTTGAATTTATCTAAGAGGTTTACCCCACACAGACTCTGCGGCTTCAGTGAGGCAGCCTCTGCCTAGCACTCCTGGCTGACAATTAACAACCATCTCATTATTACTACACTAGGGCTAAGCTTTTATTTTTCTAGATCTTTAACTATATTAACAATGGTTTCCATAACACAACCTTAGCACATTAAGAGCAAAAACACAGCAAGCAAATGTTAACCCAATAACCACCTTTAGAATAATTTTTCTTATGTTTTCTAATAGGACTCCTTCACCCCGCAAAAAGGCTGTATGTCTATTAGGGCCTTTATATGATCAGGTTCTTTATGCTGTTTTATGATTAGGGTATTATGAGCAGTCATGCATATTAGTACCCAGGGCATAAATGCATTTGCCAAACAAACTAAAATACCAGCAAAGGAGTTTAAATTAAAACACTCCTTTCACCCTGGATAATCTCATAAAATACCACCACACGGGAAACTTATTGATTAAAGTTCTAAATTGATTCTTATTTGGAAAGAGATCTGGGAAGGCCTTCTGCCTGTGTCACAGAAATTAGGGAGTAGTCTATTGAAGCAGGCATCAGAAAGACAGATATCATCTTTAAGGTGAGCACCGGGGGCAGCTTTTTGGAATCCCTGAAAACCTGATCTGCCTTGCCTATCAGGTTTTCTCCTCATGACCTTGTCATGGGTGGGATCTCATGAGCTGGCCTTTTTGAAACCCCTGAAAACCTGATCCGCCTTGCCTGTCAGGTTTTCTCCCTCATGACCTTGTCATGGGTGGGATCTTGTGTGCCGGCTCCCGGCAATTTACCATCCGAGCCACCAGGGAAGCCCCTCTGAGCCACCAAAGAAGCCATGGACAGTATATAAATGAATGAGTATGGTTGCATTCCTATAAAACTTTATTTATGAATAAGGCAGTGATGAGTCTTATTTTGTTGACCCTCACTCTTTGTCTTCACTAACACTTGTTATATTCTGTGCTATTCATTTTCGCCATTCTGGTAGTGTGTAGTGGTATCTCATTATGGTTTTATTAAAAAAATCACACATCTCTGATGACTAATGAAGTTGAGCATCTTTTCAGCTGTTGAACACTTACATATACACTTTTGTGAAGGGCCTGTTCGAGTGTTTTGCTAATTTTTAAAATACTGGTGTGAGATATAATTCACATACTATCAGATTCATCCTTTAAAAAAGTATACAATACAGTGGTTATAAATGTATTCACAGAGTTGTGTTACCATCAACATTACCTAATTTCACAGTATATTTAGGCCCCCCAAAAGAAAGTCCCATAACCATTAACAATTGCTCTCCATTCCTTCTACTCCTAGCTCCTGGAAACAACTAATCTACTTTCTGTCTCTGAATTTCCTTATCCTGGACATTTCATATAAGTGGAATCATAGAATATGTGATCTTTTGTGTCTGACTTCTTTCACTTAGCATAGTATTTTCAGAGTTCATTCATGTATCTGTAGTGGGCAGAATAATGGCCTCAAAGATGTCCATGTCCTAATCTCTGGTACCTTGAATGTATTACCTTACGTGGCAAAGGGGCTTTATAGATATAATTAAAGACTTAATTGATATGAAGAGATTATTCTGGATTATCTGACTGGTCCAGTCTAGTAACAGGAATTTTTATGAAACTGGAGCCCATTATACAGAGCGAAGTAAGCCAGAAAGATAAAGACCATTACAGTATACTAACACATATATATGGAATTTAGAAAGATGGTAACGATAACCCTATGTGCAAAACAGAAAAAGAGACTCCTATGTATAGAACAGACTTGTGGACTCTGGGAGAAGGCGAGGGTGGGATGTTTCAAGAGAACAGCATTGAAACACGTATATTATCTAGGGTGAAACAGTTCACCAGCCCAGGTTGGGTGCATGAGACAAGTGCTCGGGCCTGGTGCACTGGGAAGACCCAGAGGGATTGGGTGGAGAGGGAGGTGGGAGGGGGGACCGGGATGGGGAATACATGTAAAAAAAAAAAAAAAAAAAAAGATACACTATGGTTGTGATAAAAAAATAAAAAAATAAATAAATTAAAAAAAAAAAAAAGTAGGAGTGCTGAGAGCGGTACTGAGGCTGAATGGGGAGGAGTCGGAGGTGGAGCCAGGGGCGCGCCCGCCGATGACGTCACGAGCCACCCCTCCTTCAAGTCTCCGCGCGCTGGTCAGGGGGCGGAGTCGCGGGCGCATCATGGCGGCCTGCCGGGCTGACGCTCCTGGCTCTAAGACCCAAATTCAATATACACTCTGTTGCCAACCTCCCCACCCTACCCCACCCACTCCTGGACTCTGAGTCAATAGATGGAACCACCTAAAAATCAACTGCATTTTAAGCAAAACTTTGGTGATTCTGAGGCAGCAGTACCACTTGGAGAAACAGTAGTATTCTATGTGCCAATGGACAGGTCCTCAGGAATGGGAGCTAAAAGAGAAGACCAAGAGAAGAAGACAAAAAATGTGGGAGTCTGGGCTGTGATTATGTTGGTGGGCAGTTCTGAGTGATGACTTGGTCCAGTTTTGAGAACCCTGACCATGAACGAGAGTGACTGAGGTGGGGTGAAGGTGAAGTCAGTAATAGCACTGTTCACAAGGACCCTGAAGTCATCTAGAACTTGAATGCTGGTTTTTCAAGCTTAAAGGCTAACAGGGGGCTTCCCAGGTGGTGCAATGGTAAAGAATCTGTCTGGCTATACAGGAGACACGGGTTCGATTCCTGGGTCAGGAAGACCCCCTGGATCAGCAAGTGGCAACCTACTCCAGTATTCTTGCTGGGAAATCCCACGGACAGAGGAGCCTGGTGAGCTACAGACCATGGGGTCACAAAGAGTCCGACGCAGCTGAACACAGCACACAAAGGTTGAATGTGGAGGACTGACCATAGAAGAACATTGGAGGAACAGGGATAAAGCTGTAATGGTTTAAGATTATTGCCGGGGATCAAGAGGGATAAAGGTCCTACCCCTAAGTATTGTTGAACTCTGTCGGAATTTTTAAATAAACCTGCTTAGCACTGAAAAAAAAAAAAAATAAATAAATAAAAGTAGGAGTGCTTTCCTGGCTGTAATTGTAGGGAGATTTAATTATAGAACAACCCTCAACGAGGTGCAATGTTGCTGGCTTTGAAGATAGAGAAAGGACCCTTGAACTAATGAATCTGGGCAGCTTCCAGAAACTGCAAAGACAAACAAATGGATACTTCTCAAGAGCCCTACTGAGAACTTGATTTTAGCCTAGTAAGAGCTGTGTTGGGCTTCTAATTTGCAGAATGGTAAGATAATAAATTTGTGTTGTTTTAAGCCACCAAGTATGTGATAATTTGTTATGCATGTGTGCTAAGTCGCTTCAGTCATGGCCAACTCTTTGCAATCCTATGGATTGTAGCTTGCCAGGCTCCTCTGTCCATGGATTTCCCGGGCAAGAATACTGGAGTGGGTTGCCATTTCCTCCTCCAGGGGATCTTCCAAATCCAGGGATTGAATCTGAGTCTCCTGCATTGGCAGGAATGTTCTTTACCACTAGTGACACCTGGGAAGCCCAATTTGTTATGAGAGTAATATAATAGAAAACTAATAAACCTTTACAGTGAAGTAGCTTCAATTATATTGAAATTTGAATAGATTTTAGAACTTTAATTATAGGGAGCTCAAAGTGAGCCAACTTGTGATCATAAATGAACATGAGTAAAATTTGTTGGTGAGAAAAGAGACCTAAAAGATGTTGGGCTTGTCTAACATTATGAGTGCTCAGAGGATCATTAGCTATTTCTTCACAGTGTCAGGGACAGAAACATACCTGTTTTCTCTTTGTCCTCTATTTTGTTTTTGGGTAACTCCCCTATGATTATGGGGCTTCCCTGGTGGCTTATGTGGTAAAGAATCTGCCCACAATGTGGGAGACCCAGGTTTGATCCCTGGGTCAGGAAGATCCCCTGGAGTAGGAAACGGCAACCCACTCCAGTATCCTTACCTGGAGAATTCTGTGGACAGAGGAGCCTGGTGGGCTATATAGTCCATGGAGTCACAAAAAGTTGGACACGACTGAGCGACTAACACATTCATTGATTTTTCTATGATTTAGGGGTTATCTTTTTTAAATTTTGTGGGATTTCCAGGTATAACTAAAATTTGATCCCCAGTATCAGTTAAGGCCATGGAGATTTGTTAGTTTGTCTATTTCAGTAGGTGTTGATGTTAACTCATAATCTGTGTTGTAGAGGCACAAAAGTCAATTGGCATTCTTTTTATCTTTTTGTTGTATAAATTCTTTTAATAAATTTTGGATTTTGCATTGGCTTAAACTGTGAACCTCTGTCCCAGATTTTTGTTTCTTCCCACTGTTACAGTGTATGAGTGTGTTTAGTAGATATATTTAGGGGGGAGTGTGGCTGTCTGTTCTTTTCATATTTATAACTTCCTTCTTCCAGAGATTCTCAAATCTGTATCATCAAGGATTGGGGCCTATTCCATGACAGTGGTGTGTGTGTATTAGTTTCTTAGTCGTGTTCCGACTCTTTGTGACCACATGGACTATAGCCCACCAGGCTCCTCTGTTCATGGAATTCTCCAGGCAAGAAACTGGAGTGGGTTGCCATTTCCTTCTCCAGGGGATCTTCCTGACTCAGGGATTGAACCTGGGTCTCCTGTGCTGCAGGCAGATTCTTTACTGTCTGAACCACCAGGGAAGTACCATGACAATGGTAGTTTCATTAGATTTAAGGATCTTGGTATTAACTCAAGTTTGAATTAACTCCTTGGCTGTGCCACAGGGACACCATAGGTGTTTTTCTCTATAAACCCAAGAATTAGGGTTGTTTTGGAAACTAAGGCCTGGATGGCAGCAACAGCAGCCGAGATATTTCAGGCATAGGATGCTAGTGAGCCATATTCTCTTAGGAGGGTCGACCTTAGTCTTCTGGCTGGTGATTAGTCTTCCTTCACATAAATGGTGACTTGGGTTGTGTATTGCAGTGTTTTGGTCTTTCCCCTGAGTATTATGTTGGAACAGGGATCAATACCTGTTTGAGATACACAACCATTAGTTATATGGTAAGAATAATTTCCCTGAGTCTAGTGTTAGTCACAGCTATGCTGGAGTTGAGACACATTTCAGTAGGAGACACACAGGTCCTGGTCAAGACACATTATCTAGGGCCATTTTAAGAAGGGATCTATTCCTATAGTCCTGTCTCTAAATATCAGTTATTGAAACTACTAATTTAGGTAAGTTAAATGTCTAACAAAAGCTTAGTGTGTGTGTGCTAAGCCTCTTCAGTTGTGTCCAGCTCTCTGAGCCCACCAGGATCCTCTGTCTATGGGATTCTCCAGGCAAAATTACTGGAGTGGGTTGCCATTTCCTCCTCCAGGGGATCTTGGATTGAACCCTCTCCACCTGCAGCTCCGCACTGCAGGCAGATTCTTTATCACTGAGCCACCAGGGAAGCCCAACGAAAGCTTAGTAGGAATCAGCGAGTGCAAGACAAAGCAGCACAGCTCCAAGTCTAAACTCTCCAGCAGGCAGCAGCACAGCTCAGAGAGCTTGCTAGCCAGCAGACAGCAACTGTACAGTAAAGTGCACACACGCCAGCAGTCTGCAGAACTAGTTAGCGGCTAACAGAAGGAAGGAAAGACCCTCAGTAGCTGTGGTCATCATCTGAACATTCTACTCACAGCACCAGTTGTATTATGGTGCCCTGTGAGGGGCAGGATCAACCTCTCTCACCAAAAATTTCATTAGGATGTTGAGATTGATTTTACCACAGATGAATAAAGAGGATAAAAAAGGCTTTATTATTCATGAAATGAGGCTTTCTGGAGGTGAGCCGGGCATGCTCCCAAGCAGGTCCAAGAATAGCTTGAGAGAGTGAGGAGGAGAGACTAGCTTTAGCTCTCATTGTGGAAATAGGGTGTGGATGGGGTGATAGTAGTTCCCCCATGGGTCAAGGCTACTGTGTTTTGAACTTACCAGTGCCAAAGTGGGTAGCAGGCAGGCTCTTTTGCTGGCTTGCCCATTTGTGGGGCACAAAGGTAAACAGGAGCGGTAAGGCTTGAAAGCTGCTGCAAACTTTTTATTCCAGTGGATCTTTGATCAGTTGTAGGAAATTCTCCATCATTATCTCTTCAGATGCTGCTTCTGCCCTGTTGTCTCTCTCTCTTGTTCTTCTGGAGCTGTAACTACATGTATGTTAGATCTTTTGACTGTGTCCCACATGTTTCCATGTTCTGTTTATTTTCTTTCTCTTCATATTCTCTTTCTCTTCTCCACTACTTCTAGCAGTCTTTTTTCTTTTTGTTCTTCAGTTTGGATATTTTCTGTTGATATCTCTTTGAGCTTACTTCCTGTCTTTGGTTAGGTCAGTTTATTTTTAGATACATTCCTTGGGTTCTTAATCTTATATTTTATTTTCAGTTTTAGAATGTCCTTTTGGTTCTTTATATAAATTTCACTTGCCTGTTGAAATTTTGTATCTTTTTATCTCTATCTTTTCCTTTCTTTTGTTTAATATATGAATCATTTAAAGTCCTTGTCTGCTATTTCCAATATCTAGATCACCTATTGCTCTGCTTTTATTGGTTACCAGTCAGGTGGTTATGTTTTTATATACCTAGTAATTTTTGTTTGAATGTCAGATGCTTTATATTAAACACACACACTCACACCCCAGTAACAATTTTAGAAGTTTCAGATAATGGAATTTTTTACCAGAGAAGTAAGATTCTAAGAAGGTTGAATAGGGGCCACCTTAATCCTGTTGCAAACTTATTTAGTTCAAGACTGGTTTTCAGTTTTGGTCAGATCTAGTCCATCTTTGTTTTACTTATTCCAAGGACATGGTCCTTTATGGTTTTTTACTGACAGCATGAGGAGAAGGGGGAAATCCTGTGTTTAGAATCAACATTAACTTTTCACTCTACTTTCCAGAGGTATTTGAATTATCCTTTAACCTTTTGAAATTTCAAAATATCACATCTTTTGGGGAAAAGACTGGCTGTAGGCTTGAGATCACAGCTGCCAAGACTACTGGTTTCTCTATTTTCTAACAGCAGCTTTCTGAAGCCTAAATTCTTAGTCTCTGGCTATGTCCATATTGGAAAATGCAATGAGGAAAAAAGTGATAATAGATGGTAGCATTAATCTGTCATTCTCTCCAGTGCTTCCACCTCCCACTGGCTAAATTCAAGACCCTTTATCTCCTA